CCCCTCACGAAAACCGGTATACCAAAGACGTGGTTGACCTATGTAGTGTTCTACTTACCCTACCACCATGGGTACTTCATGATGCTATCATTTGTCACAGTTCTTCTGAAACTATTCCGAGAAACTTTCTTAGGCGAAGAAAAAATGTGTAGAGTAAAGAAGGTAATGGATGAGAAATGAGCGTTCATTTCGTTTCGCGGTCAGTTTAAGGGTCGCCTTCGGATGCTCAGCCATAACTTAGCGATTTCCTCTTGTACCACGGCGAAACAGGCTCATACGAAATGATCAAGAATTCTCCCTATATATCAAGACCCTTGAAATGCTCAAGTATAGAACCGGTATGGGGTAGTTTCAAGTGTTCGGGGGTTGGAATCGCCTGACCAGCCATGCCTTTCAATCATCTGAGGTCGATTATCTGATGCTGGACTCTTAAGGGCAGAAAGGCTTGCTTGTACATTGGCTACACCTCTCAAGACCTCAAGGATCCCGAATGGAAATAAAAAGCGGGGCGCATACCTTAGATGTGACTAAAGGGAGTTAAAAATCTTGATACTTTATAATTAGATATATTGACTTGATGGGGTGTTTCTCATCTTTCTAATTAGATGGGCCACATAGGAAATGGACGAGTTAGTCGCTAGTTCATAGCCTTAATTAGTCCATTAATTATCGGTTCTCGAAGAGTATTAAAACTAGGTAATAAGAGGTCAGCATCCGCGCAATCTTAGACAGTCGTCAAGGGAAAGCCAGTAATGGACGAGTTATGTCGTTCCCCTAACAGTTGGGATGAAAACTGAAGGGCAGGGGCTCTTGCAGGGCATTTGTGAAGCATCTCCCGTAGGAGCAACAGGAAGGTTAGACCTGTCATCTCGATGGGGATGGCGTTGTGTTTGCATTCGGGAAAATGATATAGGGTAGTAGTACGATTTGATGGATTCCGAGGATCTTTTGGTGCCTTTCTCCACTGCCGGTACCAAATATCTGAATTCGTACCTATTGACATGGGTATGGCGCAACATAAATGGATCGATCGCTCGGGACCTCTTCTTCTGGTGATTTGAGCTTGTTTAAAATCCTGCATAGACGTGGAACGTTTCCAGTAGGAAAATTGATGTCCGCTAGAATCGGAGTGGGACGGAAATGGAAATAGCAAAGCGGCCTGAATAAAGAACTATGGTCATAACTAATGAAATTACCTTCACCGACAACCTGTCATTCGAGTTTCCTAATAGTTCTATAAAGTTTTTTAGTTACCTCGAGAAAATCGTAATGAAAAGCCGCTTGGAAAATCACATCAATCGTCAACGACATCTTCAAATCGTACCGCTAGCAAAGCGCTCAACGCTCAAACTAGCTAATAGTCTGTTCTTCGGGAAAATCGCGATTTTATGGCCGAAAAATGGTCAACCCCCTCAACGAACTTTATGTCGTGGACGCGCGCGGCGATCGCGATGCGGCAACGCGGCGACGGTTCCACTTCTAATGAATTTGTCGTTTGCTCGTCGCCCAGTTTTTCATATACACTCATGCACATTTTCAAATAACGGGGTAACAACAGTACACAGCACAGTAGTCAGTCAATACTTACTTACTCGTACGCCGTAATTGTTCAGCAGAGCACTTGGGGGATGGGGCGGGTATTTTAGTTTTTTTGCCGCAACTGTCGTCACCGTAAGAACCAAAGTAGTTTGATATTTTTCGAAAACAGGAAAACGTCCTCGGCTCGGCAATGTCATAAGTGGGGAAGTGTATAAAAGCACGTCCAACACCTAGACACCGCCGTTGACCTTCTACCAAACGTCGACGACACCATGCTCACCGACAAGAACATCGTCGCCGTATCATCGTTGGCCTCGATCAGCGCCATCATCGCCTGCCTCATTGTAGTCCCATCGCTCTACAATGAGATTAACGACGTTCATAATATGGTACGTGAATGATTTGGCTCAGAAGACTGACCGATTGGTAACCTCACTCTTCAGGTCCTCGACTCGGTGGCCGTATTTCGTGTCGAGACCGATTCGGCTTGGGCTGAAATGATGGACGTCCAAGTGATGGTAACCCCACCATCGAAACCTCGCCAGAACCCGTTCAACTCGATCTTCCGTCAGAAGAGACAAGGTCTACCACCATGGTGCGTCTGCGAGATCCCCAGGATCACCTGTCCACCCGGACCGCCTGGACCTCCTGGCCAACCAGGACAACCTGGTAAGTTCTTTTAGTACACGTTATCTCTAGCATATATGAAAACCTTATTGTCTTCAGGAAACCCTGGCCCTCCTGGTCCGCCAGGAAGGGATGACATGACTGTCTACGCTCCTATTCACTGTCCAGCTCCTGACCGTGCATGCATCAGATGCCCACCAGGACCTCAAGGACCACCCGGACCCGATGGACCTATGGGACAACCTGGAATGGACGGTAGACCAGGATCACCTGGACCTCGTGGAGAGAACGGAGGTCCTGGACCAATAGGACCACCCGGAGAACCAGGAACTCCTGGGCATCCAGGTATGGATGGACGACCTGGGCCACCTGGTCAAGATGGCCGCAAAGGTGTTGGCCATCAAGGTATGCCAGGAATGCCTGGACCGCGTGGAGAACCGGGCAAGGCTGGAGCCCGAGGAAACGATGGCGCTCCAGGTACACCTGGCCACATGGGACCACCCGGACATCCAGGAACTCCCGGAAACAAGGGTATGGACGGTCAACCAGGAACTCCTGGAATGCCTGGACGTCCTGGAAGAGACTCAACCTATTGTCCTTGTCCTCGCCGCAGTGTGGTGATCGCGAAGAAGAAGAAACTCTGAAAACTGTCATTTCAGGGAACTCATCCAAAATTGTAGTGCTTACTCCGATGAGTTTTGCTTCATCAATAAAAGCTTACTACTTAAATGTTCAGTATTTACAGAAAATTGCGAATACCGTAATACTCGCAGAATCCAGACAGATACCGTAGAAAGATAGTCAAGGGACCCCAAGTAGCAGGAAAAACCATAAAAAGGAGTGTGTATCTGATGCTAGCTGTAAGATGCGCCATGCATCCACTCTTGAACTTCCTCGACTTTATTCAATGGGTACAGCGTACTTGAAATTACTTAATGGGAGCATGTCATTAGGTCCTCGTTTTTCTTCTGAAATTTATTACCGACCATACGAAAATATAGCAGCGAAGCGTGCAACATACGTCAATAGTCATTCTTTCGCATGCGCCATGCATTTGTATTCTAACATTACCGACACGACCGAATGGCTACGACGTCCATATATTTGATGTCCATGCCTTCCTTGGGAATACTGTTAGTTCCTCACTCTAAAGTGAAGGGACAGGGACCTGAAATGAAGGACCTTTACGGGCTGGATTGAATGGAGTGAAGGGGAGAGGGGTGCCTACACGACTCTCGAAAGCCTCCTGAAAAAAAAAAGGTCAAGAGTATGAGTTGCACTTTCCTCCACAATAGGTATGGTAATGGCAAAAGGGGCCTTTTGAGCTTTCGTTTGAAGTTTGGTTACCATAAGTTTTGATTATGAACCTATAGAACTTGCTGAATAGTTTTTATCAGAGCTCGAAGGTAATTAAAGATGGCGAAAGTAGGACAGGATGCTGTTTTTGTCGCCCGAATCGGACTGTAAACGACGTCCACCGACTCGCTAACTGGACACTCCCATAGCGTACTACAAAAACTGGCATATCGTATTCTTGAAAGCTTACAGTCCATGCCTTCTAAATTGTGATTGATGTTTCCATCATCTGTCTGTACTTATGCTCTTTACATTTAATCAGCGAAACTCAAGTCATAGTCCCTCTCCGTAAAAGGTCTCGCAGAGATAACAACATAATGATGGTCCTATCACGAAAATTTGAGGCCTTCACTCTGGACAACTATGTCCGCTACACCAGTAAGACCAACCTAATCTGCTTTGCAAGAAATCGGTATCTTTTTGCGTTAGACATGAGGTGTTGCGCAATGCGTTTTGAGTGGTCCTTCGGATACGCCTTGTTCGAGATTACTATCGATTTTACGCGGACTGGATCGATATTCAGGTTACGCATTTGCATAATGGTGTGGCGGTGCAAGGTGTCGAAGTCCTTATCCTTAGTAATGCAATATTCTAATATTAACACAAACAAACTCAATTTAGGTGATGCCATTACCGCCGCGGTGGGGTCGCCAACTCTGAACGGACCTTTTGACTCTACTTGATTGGTCTTTGGTCTTTACCACTTGCTCTAAAATCAGAATTCGCCAATTTCGATCTATGTCGCATTCCGACCCTAAGGTTATTACCTGAATCGCATATCGACAACCGGCATTAATAGGTCTTGAAGCGTCAATTGCAGCACAGGATACCTACCGTAAACGACATAGTGAGTAACGCTGTAGTTGTTTATGTATTCTAGTATGTACTGCTGTACTAAATTCCAAACGTCCAATCCTCCTACTCCGAACTTAATTACAGCTCAATCTAAAGTTTATGATATTGGCGCGGTCGGCGGCGCGGCGCGTCATAGGGACGTATATATGTATAAATGAATAAATAAATAAATAAATATTGGAAATTACAACGGGGAAAGAATTTGAGAGGGACCAATTCATACAGAGTACCATCGTTGCAGTAGATAACTACAGGACAAAGAATACAAGCTATATTACGACATTTAACGACCAGCCGTGGTGGAATTACGGTGGGGATTTCGAGCCACGCCAAATTTTGTTGGCTCTTTCTTCATCACTTTTCTAATCGAGTTATTCTGCGCATTGGTTAAAAAAGTTCGGTTTTTCCCAGTGAAGCAGTTGTTCTATGGTTCTAGAACATTCTACCCATTCGAAGGCACGAAAATCATCCCATTCGGGTTCCGCGTCGACGGCATCTCAACCATTCACATTTTTTTTTCGATATTTTCTTTTTCCCATCAATTTTGTTTACCGTTATCGGCTTTGTTTATCATTGTTTTTCAAGGGTTGGTTTGTTCCAAGTCTTCAGTTGCAATGGATTTTTTTAAGGGCAAAGTCTACATAATACGCCACACACACCGTAAGGGCAACATACCGTAATTTTTGAAACCTTTGTTTTGGCGCCATTTTCGTATGACGGCGCATTTACCGCAAATCGTCGTTTTCAAGCTTCACTATTCGGTCGTGTTTGGATCGTTTTCAATTGACTTTTTTGTTTACTCCTATTCTCATATTTTGTTGTTGTTTACTATTCATTTATGTCATAGAAACTACATATTATTCATTAACAAAGTAACAATTTAGTTTGCCTCTTTTAAACGCTCGTTTGAATTATCTTCTGGGTCGTGTTGTTTCTTTTTTTCTTTTCAATTGCCTCTTCGGATACAAAAGATGTTTTCATCGATTTTATCTTTCTCGAACTTTCTACAGCTACAATTTCGTTTTGTGTGTTTCCCAAGCTAAAGTTTCTTCGAACGACCTAGGTATTTCATAGAACTTACGATAAATCACCTCAGAATTGTTCTTTAGGAGCCATAATCAGAAGTCTTCTTACCTTTAGAAAGAGTAGTTTTTCTATCGATGTAAGCAATTAAATTCTGCTCTTTTCAACAAATTTTTGCATATGTAGAAGCTTTAAAACTGGATTTCTTGGCGTTCCGGTGCTTCAAAGCGGATTTTTCAAAAGGGCAGCGTGCTTGACTATCATCAGCTTAAGAAAAGCTTATGGGATGGGGGTGTTTTTTTGCAAATGGCATCCATATTAAGCAGCAAGTTTTGTTGACCAGCCCGTTTCGAACAGCGATATTGATCGCGGCATGCGTTAAAACGACCGACGGCTTGCGACTCCACACACGTTCACGTACAATTCGTGCTTTTTTTCCTAAGCAATCGTAGAGGGGTTTTTCATTAACACGTGCCATCCATCTGCGGACGGAGTTCGTTGCGTATTGTACTGTATCGTTTTTCCCAAGTTATCAGTTATTTGGGGATTTTTCTTTAACTTTTAACAACTTTATTTGCGTAGTTATTATCGCTATTTTTTCATTGTCGGATTTTTTGATCGTCCGGATCGACTTTAGTGCAACACTAACAATTAATTAGTATCTTTCTAATCATGTTTGAAATTTTTATAGCTACGGTATGGTTAAATTGGAGGCTGGTGTGCTACAGGACAACATTAAGTCCACTAATGCATCGGTAGGTTTTCTGTTATTATTTGAGCTTATATGTACTCAAGCTCGACCCTCAATAAGTCTTGCCATAGCTTTAAATAAATAATTTAAAGATATGAATAATAATTGAATAGGAGCTTGTTTATCATCTTGGTCACAGGTTTTATAACCGTCTTACGAGATTTATTTGAGCTTATATTTAATCAGTTTTTGGCTCATGAAATATCAAGTCGCAGTTGTCAATAAGATAACTTTAATGAGATTGATTTATGTTGGTAGATCGCCGTCCTGGCGCTTAGTACTTCAAGTAACTAGGTTCCATATCCCTCTGTCGCTAGGAATTTTAGGGGAAAGGCATGCCTTCGAGGACGTTTTCCTTTCTACGTCAAGACATTTGCAGAAGACGCCTCCTTGAGCCTGGTTTCCTTCCTTTTTTGGTTGGAGTTAGAAGTATGCAGGGAGGAAAGCAGCAATTTTTAATTAGCATCCCTTCTATTAATGCGAGGAGGCCTCATAGATGATTTGCTCCCTCGTGTATAATTGGAGCTCGACAGATCTTTGGATACTTTGTGTTTGCCCAGCGCGAATTGATATCAGTTGAAATTAGCTATTAGTATTTATGGTTGAGCATATGTCCTAATTGCTCGAGGGGAGTGAGCATTCACTTTCCTACTAGAGGCTCTAATGTTGAACTCAAGTTCACACATATTCCTTCGATTATCCCTCAGGGAATTTGACCGATAAAACGGGCAGTTTCATATGGAGTATATTTCCACAATCGCAATTGGCTTTGTTCTGGTAGCAAGAGTTCAGAAAATAGTAGACTTCAAGTGTTGACACCCGTAGATTCCGTGGTCTTAGCACCCCTATCTCGAGCCTAAGAACGGATATACTGCGATTAGCCAATCTGAGGCAGTGTTCCTGGGTAAATTGTCAGAGAAATTTGGCAGAACAGTGTCAGAGTGTTAACAAGTTTCTTTTCATTCAATTATCGATTATATAGCATTAATTTTTTTGATCATCGTATTTTCTTTTTGAATTTCAGCTCAAAAATTTGCAAAATTTAAAGTTGTCTTTGTGAGCAAGAGCATGTTTGTTAGTTTGCAACTTCTAATATCACTAGAATTGTTTATCTGGGCCATTTTCCCAAAATTTTCCATTTGTCACGTGGAATCAAGTCTTCAATATCCCCTTATGATTCGTTTTGCTGAAACAAGCGCACGTAGTGGCGCCCCTGCATGAAGGGAGTTCGCCTAGGTCATCATTTAATTCATGAAAATTTTTTACAAATAAATTTCACGAAAATTTCCTCCAAATAAGTGAGGCTTTTCAGGCTGTTTCTTCACGGAGGCGAGGGCGTCCACGGAAAAGAAATGTGGATGGAAACTTTATTGTGAACGTAAAACAAGAAATTTTGGAGGATTCGTTGAGCACCACTTCGTCTCCTCGGCCACGCGGTCGACCTAGGAGAAGTTGCCGGAAATCAGGTACACAATGAACGTCCACATTATTTACTCCAATACTTTTATTACTCATTTTGCATTGTGTGCACTTTCATTTTATTTCATTTTTTTGCAATACTTCAGGTTTATCATACTCTCTGAATGGGACAGGAAATCTTAGTTGCTTCGCTGATACCTCAGAATGTTCTTCTAGCATAGGTTCGAAACCTTCTCTTTCATTCTTAAATTATTGGGTCCGTCATACGTCGATAACCATAATCCTTACAGCTACGAGTGCGAATGCATCACTGCTCAATTTCGACATCAAACCAATCAAGGGGATATCCTCGCGGGAGTTGGTAGATGTTAGGGGTTCGTGTCTGTTTTTACGCTGTTTACCGTTCTGAGATAATATTTCAATTCCTTCCATGGCACCGTTTCTTCCTTCAGAACTATGGGATCACTATATCGCACGCGCAGAATACCATTCTATTCTATCCACTTCGGTCAATCGTTGTTCGAAGTCGCGTTCCTCACGTATACAAGACAGAAAAGCCCTTATCGAAAAGATAACTCAACTGAAGCGGATCGAGGACAGTGTGAGTACATTCCTTATATCTTAATTACTATAAGGTTGGCTTTCTTTGACTTCGCTTAATTTAGATAAGTCAAGGGATCAGGCAAATAACCACTTTCGAATTTTTCAACTATGTCAATCCTCTGTGTCCTGGTGAGTGCGATTTGAGTCGTTTAAGAATATTTTAATAAGGCAGTCTACAGAACTTAATTATTTTCTAAATATCACTTGAAACCCTCGATGTAGAGTGGAAATCATGTCGATTTTCTCTAATTCGCTTCTTTACATGAGTTGTAAATGGATCGAGTTGTTTGATTTGATCTGAACATCGTCCTTCGCATAGAACCAAGAAATATTGTTGCTTGCATGGAGCACATTCAGACTGTTCAAGCTCCACTTCGTATTTTCGCACTATCACTGTCTTAGAAGCAGACGACTGCAGATGTAATAGTTGGTGATTGGCTTGCTCCAACCATATATAAAAATTTTGACCTTGATAAGTTTTTGTGCTAATTAACGTTGTCTGCATCTTATCTGAGTGATTCATCCTTGAAGACATGATTCATCCAATCCATCCTGTCTCAGGAATTCGATAGTTTATGCACTGACTGCCTTTTACGAAGGTATTCATTTTGAACCGGTCTGAATTTCTTCTTTTATCGCTTGAATTTAAGGTTACTTGACCCTTTTTATCGAAGGAGCCTTAAAAACTCATGGTTTCTTTACTGATTCATAAATAAAGAGGCCATCTTATGAATTTTGCTGTTGCCCTGCCACTCTTAACATTAGTGAGTGACAACTTAGATAGCATCTATGTAAAGCCTGGATTGATGGGGCAAATAGGGACTCAAAATCATAGCAACTCTTCATTTTCTGCATTTTCTTTGCTTCCTTTTCGAAATTTTCGGTAGATGTGTTATTCTGTTGCCTTTCTTTCCTGCTAATTGATTATCTTTAAAAGTATTTTTTCAAATTTTCTATAATTTTTTCCGTCAAGTGTCAATTCATTTGTTTACAGGGTTAAATGACGTCACCACCGAAATATTTATGATATCGTGCAATCAGGAAAAAGTTATCCAAAAAGTACGTTACCTATGTGATGTGGTTTCTCCGATTTGAAGTCACTTTTCATTTCATTACTCCATTCAGGACGTTTTGACTAGTGTTGTCGTACCTTGTCGAAGTACCCATCATCATGAACCTCCCGTAGTCTACTATGCTGTTCCACCTAACGTAGAGGAAAATGCGAAGTATGTTGCTATTCGTTCCAACCATATTAGTAGTTGTTTTGTGGTTTCGGTTCCTTAACGGGTCAGTTGTAGGAATTTTTTCTCGGGGTAACTGATTCCAGTGAGATTTTTTTGGTGTAGGCAAGATATGAGAAATGACAGCCCGACTGGTACGACCCTGACCCAACTTAGGTGGGATTATGTTAGATAGCACGATAGTGCCGTTAAAACGGCCTAGACTTCTCACTGTGTAGAACCTTCGCATGCAGTAGATCAGGGGTGGTTTTCGAGAAATAGGGCTTATGTTTGTGAGCAGAACCTATACTGTAAAAAAGGTTGGTAAATGTAAGCAGCTCTTTGAAGGCTGCCTAATACGGTCAACTTATCTGTTGTGTAAGCGCTACTCCGATGATAAAACGGGCTGTGTCTCAGGCTAGATTTCAAATTACTCTGGACTTCACATGCTTTACCCTATCAGGTTATTGAAGGCAAAATAGATGGATTTCTTTATATGATAAAGATTTCACAGAAGCACATGAACATGCGGAGAAGTGTTCGAGTGGGCAAGGTAGAGATATGGCAATGCTAGGGGATGCCACGGCAGTTTACTAATTTTCGTCCAGACAATCAGACATTTCATTTCATCTCGAGGCTGGTTGATCCCAGTTAGCACAAGAGATATTTATCGCTGACTCGCCATGCATAGCTCGAAGCGAAATCAAATAGCTGGAAGTTATCTCCAATAATTCTCTTTATTTCTGGGCTAATCACTTTTGAATGTCATCCACTATGTACGCGGCCTGAGTCTTCTTCACACTTCGGTTACTTTCCGGCTTTTTTCGTAGCTGTCCGTTGAACTCTTTTTGCGAGATCATATTTCGCGTTTCTAGGACTATCTTCCTTGTGGTGAAGGTTCACATTGAGCAGAAGTATCATTATATAGGTTCAGGTAAGTGAATTATGCAGATTTCAATATGTGGTTTCAATTTCAACTCTCTTATATAGCGCCTATTTAGCTCGCAGGCTAGGAAGATCAAGAGGAGAGCAGGATAATGAGGAAACTGATTCTCCTGTTGTGAAAGTGAGCGGACTTTGACTTCAGTCAGATTCCTTTTTTTTCTAACGAGTCGTGAGAGTGTAGCCAATCAGTAGGAATCGTAGTAGCTGTGTGGTTTTCACAACATGCGTCAACGTTTTTTTTTACTAACGCTCTATGCTAGATCCAACTTTCTTAGCAGCATCCTGTTGCTAGATGAGTTGTAATGCAATGTGATGCCACTTCATTGCTTGCCGATTTCCCGCAGGATGAAAAAGTGAGAATGATACGTGCGATTTCATTTTTTCAGCGCATTCTTTATGGCGTGCGAAAGGTCGCTTGTGGTTTGAATGGTTCTATCAATCCGACATTTGGAAATCATACAGTCGTTTTGATGTGAGCTTTGAGTTCTCTCGATTATCGTTATAGGGAAAAACGATCAGGTGTTTCAGTAACAGCGACACAGACCATGTTGATGGAATTTCGTTTAATTTCACCGAGGAAAAGTGGATGTCGAATTTTTCCAATCTCGAACAGTTTGCCAGAATAGGGAATGTTCGTTTTGTTTCTTTTTCATTTTTTTTTGCTTTTTCTCATTTTCTTATTGTGAGTGTTTTTTGTGACTTATTCTTTCAAAGTCTTTTTGTGAAGCCGACACACACGACATCCCATCCGCTTGTCTTTTTAACCTTCATGGATGGTATAGTAAAGCCGTTTCTCCACAGCCACTAAACGGACGTGTTTGGGTTGATTAGAAGATCAAAAAAGGAAATAGAGGGTAAAATGACTACTCTTCGAGGAAAATATGAAATATATTGGGTCTATTTGCTCATTTTCTGCGCCTTATCCTTAACTATGGGATCCTATGCATAAGCTTCTTCCCAATGTTGGCTACTGCACACATTCAGACTATACTACCAGAATGTAAATGTCGGCTAAAGGTTTCTCATTACAGAAGTTATGCTCATCTGGTCCGATAGGTCTGATCAATTTCGGCATCAGCGATGAGCATGTAGAGTATGATTGGAATGTGGTGGAAAGCGTTATGGATACAAGGACTAAAAGAAAGACTGAGCAGTTGAAAACTTCGGATGTTGTTGTGTGGTATGCTTAGCATTTTTGAAGATTTTTCAGTTCTCGGGATTGTTCACCTCCTTGTAGCGGTTGCTATTGCAGCTAACAATGTTTAACGTTGTCTTTTCTAGGTATCACTACAAGGATCCTGAAGTTCCTGAAGATACAACGGATGTGGCGACAACTACTCGGGGAAGTCCATCGTCGGATAAGGAAAATAGTAATGTACGCTCATCACCTCGGAAGGGACTACGCTCTCCGCCGAAGCTGCCAATAAAATCACTGGCTCCAAGGAGATCCATTGGTCTATCGAAATCTCCAGTGAAATCGCTAACACCACGGCTTGACTGCGATTCTCTGAAGCCTCTTGCGAAAACGCTGTCGCCGCGGAAATGCAATGCTCTCCCGAAATCTCCAGAGAAGTCATTGTCTCCTCGTAAAGCCAATGGTACCCCAAAGTCGCCGGTGAAATCTTTGACGCCCCGAGGAATCGACTATGAGCTCGTACAGCTTGATCCTAGCCTTCCAAGAGGCATCTTTGATCGCATTCCTGGAATAGCTTGTCCCTTCACCAATAAAACTTTCGCGACCATCGAAGAACTAGAGGAGCATTTGCAAAGTTCATATCCAGTATTCAAGTTTGAAATTATTGTAAGTTTCAGTCCTTCTTAGCCCTACAACGTTATAAGTGATAGGATCTCACCTTAAATTTTTCAGAAGTCCACACCTTTTGCCATTCATTTCCTTGTCTCCAGCGCCATCTCTCGTGCGGACTGGGAAAAACCACCAGCTGATCCGGAGATTACGAAAAAGTTATCTATGTAAGTAAGAATTTCATTGTATGATTGTCGAATAGCTCCTGTGGAGGGTTTTCCTGTAGGTTAACCATGGTCTTGATGATACGTGAATTCAAAGAATACCGGAGTTTCAAGGTTAGGTTAGCCTCCATATCTCAGATCTGCGAGCTCTCCTAAGAAGAAGATCTTGTATGCGCCACCCGTTGTTATTCCTGTCAAGAGAAAGAATGAGCTTCCTAAGGCTCAGCTAATTCCTTACGGAGAAATGTCATTTGTACCTCCGACGTACTCTCGGTAGGTCTTCTTTCAGTTTTTATTGGTTGCCTGTTACTTCCACTCTTTATTTTGATTATTATTTGTACCGTTTCTTTGAAAATGGAGAGTCAATTGATGCTAAAAGTACTTTAGGGTCCCAGGGCCGTCATCCTCAAAAGTTTATCATTCGGTGATTGAAGATACGTGTGACTGGAAAGGGCACCTAATGGAGCGGGTTTGTGATTAGGATCTTTTGTTCAAATCTGGCTCTTGAGTTTCCTCACCTTTTTCTCTGGGGGTTTCCCATGTTTTGTTGTTTTCAGAACATTCGGGATTATATTGACGACACACCTCAAGAAAAGGAGTTTATGTTGCTTCACAATCGTTTCCGCGCCAAGTATCGACATCTAATTGTTGGAGAAAAGCTGACGCTAGATTTTTACGTAAGTTTTGTCTCGTCCACAAAGATTATTCGTTACCTGAGAGAGGGAAAGGAGAGAAAAGAACTGCGGAATAGTAAAAAATTGAGTGGGAAAAGTCTAGAATTTCGAAGCTCATGTCATTGAAGTGCTCTCAATGAGTTTACTTCCAACACGGACAACATTTTTCAATTACTTGATTGAAAATAATAAGCGAAGCATAAGGTTTTGCTTTTTTATAACCAATAAAGGAGTTCACGATGCGATCTGATGTTTATGCGCCGTTAGAATAAAGTAATGGAAATTTGTTTTTTTCCTTTTTTTCAATCAGAAATTTGGTGCTCCATTCAATCACTGGATCGAAAGGGGAGACGGGCTTTAGGAACGATTTTTGGTAATCGATTCGCCGCACGCGGCTGTCGCGAACCACTCATTCGCCGTTATTACAGCTCTAGCGTTCTTCATACAGCTCAATCGATATGCGATCATTATTTTATGCTTAATTCTACTATTAGTGCTTTTGTTCTTGTATTTCTTACCTACTGCTGCATCCTGCTACAATCCTTCGCGCGCGACGCCCCTCTCACCGCGACGCGACCATTTCGTTCCTAACGCACCACACCCGATCGAAAGTGTCATTGTGTCGAAATTAATCAGTTTGATTGGGTGGCGCATGTTTATGCGGGCGTGGTATCTGCAGTAATGGCATATTCATCATCTTCCCAAAGGTTAATGACCGACCTTTGTGTTGAGTAGATGCCTGGTAATGCAAACAGTAGATAGACACTCCAACACCACACCCCTTTTATTTACCATGGGACCAATGAGTAATGGAGTAGATGGGCATTTTACGAACTAAGTTATATCGGAGGGCAGAGTTTGGGCGTGAATCTTATGTGTTGTGAGTTCTGTGTTTGAGTCCGGCTGTAAGAAATTCCAATAAGTGCTGCGCCAGTTATTTACTGGCTAGCTGCCGCAGTCGTGATGGAAACAGGTGAAGGAGAAGCGGAGTTTCCTCACGAATCTAGGTTCTTACCTTAATCCCGCTGCTGCCTCTTACCTCTGCTGAACTTGGAATGTCGCAATACGATTTCATTGTGTAGAGAAAGCAGCAGTGGATTACGGTAGGAATTTGAACTCGACTCTGTTTTGGTGTGGCCTGCACATGATATTAATGTTTAAGTGTAAAATTTAACGAACAGGTGTATTCCAAGATGGTTCTTACGAAAATTTTCAAAAGAATTTGGTTGAAGAGGTTACCAAATGAAAGTTGTTCTGGAAAAGAGCGAAATTTCCTTTTCCCCTTCTTCTAATCAGTGTCTCGCTTTAGACGAAGTTCGTTGAAACTTGCGGCATGGAAATGAAGAAGAAGCGTATACGGGCACATTGTGTGGCACGACTCACTCGGCTTGTGCAAAAGAACAAAATGACTCCGACGAATATGGCGAAGCTGACTCAAATGTTGTACGAGTTAGGTCCAAACGAAGCGGATTGAGAAGGTTACTGTAATGAATTGTGTCAACGATTTTGCTCAATTCCTACAGGAAAAAGGTTATCGCTGAAGATCTACCTCGATTTTTCATTCTTGTTTCGCTAGGATTAATTACTGATACGAGATATCAATATTGAAGCAATTTGAAAAGCTGTTTCAATGGAAACAAAATAGTTTCATGGATATCGGCTCGCAAGAACGATAGCTATGAGAAATTTTTATTTCTTCTATCATCCCCCTACTGCCCGTTTTGTTTCTTATCTAACAGCTTTCTTCTGATTTTTCACAAAATGGCTTTCGATGTTTTTGTTATATGATCAGCTTTTGACCTATGCAATTACATACTACTCGATCTCTGGTTATGGTAAAGTTAGAAGTGAATTGATTTTTTTCAAATTATTCCTTTACGTCCTCCTTTTTTTTCAGTTTACTGCCGGTAGGGATAAGTGCGTCTTGTAAATAAGCATCTCAATTCTACGTTGGTTCGTTCGTTTGTTTGTGTTGCGCGGTAATACTGCCAGTTCACCTGTTCTAGAAGTTTCTTTCCTTCTTTGCATACCTCTATGAAGATCATTGTGAACTCGTGTCCTAGCAAAGGTTTCGATATTATTATTTTATTTAATTTTTTTCTCTTGTCTCTAAGAAGATTTATAGGAATGGTGATTCTATTTTATTATATTTTAGGTTTCATATTTCGTTCAAAAATAGAACGTCATACTGTACTTTGATTTCTAGACTTTATTATGGATACGATGTCTTTTTACTCGTTGAATTAAATCAAGTGAATGTTTAACGTTTTCATATCGGAGACTGATTCGTGCTGAAGGGCTCGTACCTTGGTTATCTCGTGCTTGATCAAAATTGATTTTGGAAAATTCTCGATTTGTGGACGGTTGTTTTTCGCCACGGTGATCCCTATGAACTCTGGGAGCCTGGAAGTTTTGAGTTTTGTGAAATGGCTTAATAAGTCAATTAAAAAAGATGTGACAGCTGAGTTCCACTCCACTTACTTCCACCGAATTCTTGTGTTTTTCAGAATTTTCACCTGTGCCTTTTCCCCTTGCGGGTTTTTTGAACAAATTTCATCTGTCCATCTTTTAGCCCGCCGACCTGATTTTTTTTCTGAAGCACGGCTTTCATTTTTCTTACCAGGCTTGTTTGCTTGCAAATGATTCGACGGTACTTCCCGGAATATTTGGGATATGTTAGACAGGACGTATTGGGAAAATGCACTTTTTCCCCGGGTTAAATCACCACTAGACTCGTGTAGTAGGGCTCCAGGATCGTGATGCAATTTGAAGACGTCTTTGGATTAGATGACATCTTGCAGCCATCTTGTCATTACCAGGTAGATATGATTGATACAATCTCGTTTTCCTTCCAGGGATTATGGGCGACTAATAATAGGAAGAATATGGCTTGAAACAGTTATTCTCTTCCTTGTAAGTTTTGAGCATTTCCTTCCAGAATGCTTATAAGTGGGATAAGTAGAGCACTCTAAGGAAGGGCTGCTCACCGTAGCATCGTGGATTCCTCGAAATCACTCAGCAGCCGGTAGTAAACCACTGCTAGCTCCGCTTAGTCTGTCAGAAGGCTTATAGTAAGATACGTTCCCACTAGGTAGACACAGCTGGCTCTGCACTAAATGCGGAGCTTCGTATACTTGCTTCTGTTGAGGTGAAGTTAAGTGACGTATCCGTTCCATTTCGCTGACTCTTCTATTCTCCGAAGTTGCAAACTATGAACGCGGCCTGAGCCGACTGTCTCTTCAGACGATTTGAAGACAGTTTTTTTTTTGCTTTTTGCTTAAGGGCTTCTACTTTTTCTTGGCCTTCCCTTAAATTAGAAGATATCATTGATTGTGCCAACGTTTTATGAACTCGTACAAACTGTTACTTTCCTACATTTCGTCTTACCAGACTATTGGATTCTAAGCTAGATAGTCATCCATATGGTATTCATTCACGCGTGGGCTCAATCACTTCTAGGCTTCTGAATCTTAATTGAATGCACGGAGTATCCAAATATTTATCGATTAATGAGAAAAACCCACTCACTTTTCATCAGGTAGAAGCCGGGTTACCACTTGCTAGAATAAATGGATCAAAGTGTACTAAGAGTCTCCGTAGATGTGAAATCAAATGATCGACCATTTCCCCGCTTTGGACAGCCTCAGCGCATCGGAGAGTATACGGTAGGAAAACCGTTACATTTTGCCTTCTAGTAACTAGTTTTATTGAATTTTTTTTTCAAAAAACATTTTAATGCCAGGTGACACGAGACCGATGTGTGGTAACAGGTCGTGAAGATGCCAAATATCTGTACGAAACAGCGTTGGCTGATTCTGGACGAGTTCGATTCGACTTAAACAAGGGATTCGATACGTTCGAAGAAAAGGTGTTTTGTTATTTCGTTAATTGATCGAAGGTTTAGTCAGTTGCTGAAATTTTCGGCTCGTTTTGTTGCATGACAACCGAAACATAGTGCGCGTGGTTGCAGCGCGAAATAATCAATAAAGTAGCATACCATCATGTTACATGTAAAAAATCTCGTATTGAGGTTGTATTGGTTGATTAAGGAATCGAGCAGTGCTAGTAGAAATAAGAGAAACTTTTTATCGGCTCGATTAGCAAAATGGTCGAATTTCAGGCTTCAGTTTTTCTTTCTGGGATTTTTCCTTATATGTTTTGTTAGACCTTCTCGTGACTTTTTTTTAAAGCTCGGAATCGCTATGTAATGTAATCTTGTGAATTGTTTGAAAATACTTACGCCAATTTTGCTCCTGTTTTTGTTTACATGTTCAGAAAAAAGCTTATCAGACTTCTGACAATATAAGGGTACCTACTCGATTGTTTTCAGTGGAATCACCTTTCCTTGTTCGTAGAAGTTTCTACTTTTGATTTTTCAAAACCGGGGAGTCTGACAGTCCTGTTAGCTGCGTTTTGTTGTTTTCCCTTTCCTCCGAATGAGCTATAGATCTTCAAATTCCAGGAAGGTGACGAACGCCTCGATGTGCTGTTGGACTGGATCGCTACGCAGGCACCACGTGGTGGCCCATTGAAAAAGGTGTTGTGATTTCAGTACTGGCAAAGTCCGCTATATTTTCAGTAATGATTTTTCTGGTGATGTTTGGACTCCAACATTACGAGGGTTTATGAGCCTCACACCTCTCGGACTCACAATGAGATGTAAAGCTCACCCACCCTCGTAATATCGAAGTCGTAATCGTTCTCTCATATACTGGGCCAAATAACTTGTTAGGCCAGTCCTCAGTTTTGAGCGGTTAGTTTGGGTTATTAAACTTATTGGTTTTTGCGTTGAAACGCATGCCATATCGGGTTCATTAATGGAACATGCTATGACGGCAGCGGATCTGATGCTTCTACCAAAAGAGTGGAAAACTTGATAGGGCAGGCGAAGGAAAAGTTAATTGCATGCTAGAAGAAACGATTAAGGCATACTGTTGTTCAGAATGTCCTTCGATTTTTGTGTTTGACGGCCACTTGAATCCAGAGACAACCGACTTTGATTTTCTGTACGGTCCATTGCTCTCGATGTGACTTTAGCGATGGTGTGAAAACGGTCCTTCTTTTTGTGAGAGAGCAAGTAGAAATGGCATTCATTTGAGAACATCCATCGTGGTCATAAATAATTCCCACATGGGCATTCTGCGGAGACCCTACTATTATCTGTGCAGGGAAAACAGCGCGTCATTCCATTCGCACTCGTTAATATCATTAGCCGGCGAATCTGGCGACATCTGTTTCGGGGGTAGGGACTTTTTTGAATGTCTATCAGCTCTCCGAAATGGTAGCTAGCAGTTCCTTGCTTTTGAAGCTGACTAACCCTAATCGAGAATGGGCTAAGATTAGTAAAATGTATCATTTAAATAACGATGCCTGGATTCAGCAGAACGGTAGTCACCTTGAAGCTTTCTGTTCATGACTTTCGGAGCTTTTTTTTTCTGAAGAATGCTGTACTCCCGTGCCATTCCTTTGATCACCTTCCTGGCTCCCTTAAATGAGTAGCCAGCCTGGGCTTGTCTGTAGAGCAAGGCTGACCTCTCTCTGGGGATACTATCTGGGCTTGACGCGCTCTCGCTTGTTTACTCTCCGTTACTCTTTCCCGCCACCTGTTAGGCCTAGGCGACCCCGTTCTCTTACGTCGGTGTCAAACAGTATTGTTGCCTCCGTAAAACCCTAAAACGGTCCATGAGGGGGTGCACTGTGCGCACGGGGCCTACAATTCTTATCGAGCCTACGCCTAATATAGGGAATCCTTTATACACGACTATGGACTTTATTAAATTTGTCCGTGTTCGACATGATGACGGTCGCTCGGCCACAAAGATACTTGATTCAAGCTATATGCATTCCATAAATTGGAGATTTAGGGAATAAATATTACGAAGAGCGAATATCAGATCAATTACAACGAATTCCCCTTTTACACTGACCACATTATTCCTGTGGACCAACGACTTGGGCATGATCCTTTTCTCAAGCTACGACGGGGAACTTCGAGGCTTGAAGCGCTTAGGCTCCTGACGGTTCTATGCCCTACTCCATGGCGATGGTCTGATCCTCAGTCCATCCCATACGTGGAGAAGACTGGAGGCGATAAACGATGTACGACGGTAGCCCAGGAATAAGAATGTAGCGAGGATTAGGATGTAGGGGCGAGGAGGCGATGGACAGTGGTGGCTACACAAGGCCAAGTCGGTCCACTCATGGTGTAGGCAGAGTGGCCGTCGATCAACTATCACATGGCTTCTTACTCTCTCCCGAACTGTCGATATACGGTGCCTTAAAGGCACAGTTCGCGATAATTCAATGGGCGGGTATGTCGATGACGTGTCCGCCCATTGAATTATCGCGAACTGTGCCTTTAACGCCGAGACCATGGCGTGCTTGCCTCGTTTCATAAAGTCGAACGCGAGCCACGACAATCATGCATCGTAGCGTGAAAGGGGTTCTGAAGACCTCCTGCTACACGAATTTCAAACGGCAAATGGATCGGATAATGTGGAAGTTTGTTCAAATAGCTGTCTGCAACAGAGCATGGAGGTTGTTTGGAATTCTTGCTTGTGTCCGATCAAACTTATTCCCATAACAATGAATTTCTTTTTGGAATGCTATGAACATAATGCATTTGAAACGGCGTGAAAATCCCTCCCGTCCAATCAGAGGACTACTAATCAATATCGATTGATTTTATAGAGTATCTCATCAGATGTCGCTAGCGGATATGAGATATTGCTATCGGATATTATTGATCTTGTGAAACCGCAGACTTCACGATTTTTTTTTATAAAGGTCAAATTATCAGACGGGCAGGGTAATCATTAAAATTGAAATAGAGCGTCTCTCTGTTATTTCACCTGATCGCTTTGGAAATTTATATTACTTCTACATATATACGTCTCGGGGCGGAGGTGGTGTAGTGGCAATTGGTGCTCTATATCACACGCACGGTCAGAGGTTCGAATCCCGGATCGATGCCCGCCTAGGCCAACCAAGCCTTCCATCCCTCCGAGGTCGGTGAATTGGTTCCAGACTCGTCTGGGAGGATAAAAGCACTGACTTGTACATCGGCTGGCCACCGCAAGTCATTGTATAGGCCACATACGCACTCATTACGCCACTACGATTCTTAATGGAAGTCGAGTGCGGGGGCGCGTCCCTCAGAAGGGATTTATTAACGCCAAAAACTTTACCCTTTAACTTTTGTGTACGTCTCAATTGTTGTGTTGATGTTTTTGTTTACAGGTCCTACATGAAGCAGACTTTGTTTGTTGGCGCGGGCTTTTAACACGAATTGCGGCCACTCCGTTTTGTCCCAAAGATCCATGGGAGTTTGCAGCAGCACGAATAGGCGAAGTGATTTTCCTATGCGAAAGAGAAACAGAGGAGACACGACAAAGGTAGGGCATTTGTCGCCATTCCCTAAATTTTCTTAGTAACTTTGATCTGAGGTAATGATTGATTTGTACTGATCGATAGCTGCGTTTTCTGAATGTGCCCATATTTTCCGGACCCACCTACTTACGTCATCCTCCTAAGCAGTAGCTATTGCTGTAAAAGTTAGTTTATTTCCCACTACGTTACCACGAGGCTGCCCAGATCGTGGATAAGAAATCAGCTGCGGACGAGAGTTGAACCAGCAAGTGTGTTTTTTTGACGCTGCACCTTTGTCCAGTACATCATCAGGACCCCATTTAATCCCACTATCTCTCAAAAACGTGCCCTTGATCGAAAGCACAGTTCACGATAACTTTAAGATACCCGTTTTCATTCGAAAAGCGAAAATATAGTTTGGAAATAGTTCATCAGTAGTGAAGAGAGCGAGAGAATTCGCCGATTTCGAGAAAAATATGTCTCTTCAAGAATAGGGCAAATAGAGGTTGGACGAGATTGTCATGACGGAAATAACATAGGAGGAGTATTCAGACGAGATTTCCGTTATTGCAGTTGCACAAAGAGCTCACTAAATCAAGCCAGAACTGTACAGAACTGTCTTTCACTGTCGCCATGGGCCATAACAAGTTGTTTGAACTTCCAAGAATGGTTCCCTTGAGATCTGTGCAACCTCTATAATGCCGGTGAAACTCGTCCGAGGATACACACGGTGTAATCTTCGAGCCTTTATAACGCCCTAACTAAGCCGTGTACCGCCCCAAAAGCATCAGTTATGGTATACGAGGGGGCTTCAAATTCACCCTGTGGGGGAATTTCAGAAACAATTTTTATCGTGAACTGTGCATTTAGGTCTCTGTCAGTTTAAGCAAACCGTCGTACTCTTCACAAATGATGTCTTGAAATAGTTTTTCAATTTATATCTATCTCTTTCTCGGATCACCGGAGAAGTCGTTGCGTAGGCGGAATAAGCAATCAAGTGCTATCATCACTTTGGAGCATGGCACATTCTAAAACAAGATAGATCAGCAAATATGAAAAAACTTTTTTTCAAATTTTATCTCGAAATCTATTGTCTTGGATTGTTTCCAGAAATATTTTGCTCTCTTTAGAAAAGAATCGATGACGCAAAGAGACAAGATGATGTCATATTGGGGATTCAAGTTCGAGCAATATATGACAGTTACTGAGAAAGCCGTAAGTTGTTTTTTTTTTGTTTTTGTCGTTTCCCGAAAAGCGCAGTTCAAGAGCGAGCTAGTCTCAAATTTTGCCCCGATTACCACCCAGTGGAATCCGAATCCTTTTTTCCTGGGATCGTTTAATCGCAGTGAGGCTTACCTATGGTAATGTTATCTTTCACATAGATATCCCCCGTATTTTCATCGAACATGGAGTAATGGAGGGTTCGGCTGGCATGAATCGATGGTTTTCAATATTTATAGTGGTCAAATTTGCACTCAAAAGCTTATTGTGAATAGGTGGAGAATTTGAGGGCGTGCCCTTCTCTGGACTATATCTTTTTCTTGATTCTTGCTTGTTTTCCACCCAAGCTGTGGCTTTTAATTCAGGGTGTGCCAAATGTTGGTGAACCGGTGACCTGTCGAGAAGAATTTGCAATGGTTGTCAAATCCACTCTTGCCGCTACATCTGGACGTCCTCTACGGTTGGTTTATAGCGGAGAAGTGGATGCCATCAATAAAGGTGATTATTGTCAAGTAGGTAATTTCCATTTTGCTGTCACTTTACGCCTAATTAGGGTAAAACAAGACTGTTTACTATACTTCACTATACCTACGATGAAGCGTTGGCATGGACACGGAGGTGCAACGGATCCAGTAGCCATATCCACCTGAACGTCGCATCTACATCCATCGTGTTTTCTTTCAAATTGTTTACTTACTCATTTTCAGATGGAGATCCAGTAGAGCTGAAGACTCAACGACATGCTCTGGAAGGTACCTTTTGGAAGCAAAAAAGCATGAAATGGTGGTTGCAGTCATTCCTTCTCGGAATTCGTGATATAATTGTTGGATATCGCGATGATGACGGAATCGTGAAGAAGGTATGGCTTAAGAGTTTTCAGCAATCCTGATGATTCTCCCAGAGGGCGCAAATGATGCGATTAAGCAGAAATCCCTGTAGCACGAGTATCATCAGATATCGAAGCACGTCAAGGTAAACCTACAATAGTTCCTCGGGATTAGTAAGTAGGAGCTGGAACCTGAGGCAAAACGTGCAAAATGAGATGCTCCTTTGTCAGACTGGCCAATTAGGTAATTCATTCAAACACGTTCTTCCATAAGCGGATTTTGATCACGCCTCGGAGCCTCGAGACTTCGTCCGCTTGACACAATCAGTTTCTTTAGACAGATGGAATAACTGGGAAATTTATGTATTTATCTATCCATCAAAGGAACATGCCCGGTCCTGAAAGGGAACGGTAGAAAGACAACAAAAGTTTGAGAAGTGACTATCTACAGCAAGTCGCTGTCTCGGCCATTCGTGTATGCAGTGCGTTTCAAAAGTATGTGCACACCCAACATTTTGTTTTTTGGGAATACCATTGCTTTCTGTAACCTGTGACCTTCATCATTCAATTCCTTGTATGCGATAACCTACGAACACTTTTTCTGAGAGAACATCGTAAATGCTAATACAATTTTTTATTGAAGAAAAAATTTCTCCTTTGTTTAAAAAGTATGTGCACACTTATCAAAAAAACAAAATTATAACCGAGAACAGAAAGCAACATGGCCTCTCAAATTCCTGTGAAGCTTATCGACTACGAGGAGTCGTTTGAAAATGGTTTCGTTGCGGTAGGTTCTTTAGTTACCTTTGGAATAAAAATCTTTGAGTGTGCACGAACTTTTGGAACGGCAACCGGGCCGCTCTTTTTCATACATTGCTAGCTTCATTGGAGACCCTGGCAGCTATCGCTCACAACCTATTCCTGGCCGTCCACATATTTTGACTGCTCAGGAA